GTAGCCTGTCCTGCGGCCAAGACTTTGAGTAAGGGAGGAAGCCCTTGGGTAGTAAATGCTGTTGAAATCTCATTAGCTAATGAGGGGGTATGTTGATTTTTCAGGAACAAAAACAAACATGTTTTCAATGTTTGTCCCTCCTGTTTTGTGCCCTTGGTTGCCTTTCCTGTATTGCAGCATCTGCCTAACTCTTATTCAGCTTTTATTAGTAGTAGCTGACGTGTAGGAGGAGGGACAGAAGCTGGTACTTGATCAGCAGATATCAGAAGCAGTGACACAACCCAAGGGATGTCTGCAAATGACGGCCGATGAGTGGCAAACGCATATCTTTTTACGGATTCGGTTCAGTTTTTGTTTATGGATTCAATATGTGCTGCACATCACAGAAGCGCTGCCATACAGAGGGCTGAGTTCTCATCTCACCCTTTCCAAAAAGATTCATTTCTGTTGACCGTGAATTTGGCTAATATTTTTTGTCCAGAGGAATAAAAACGCAAGCCAGAAGTGCTCCCATGGTAAACTGGTTTCCTTTCGCAATTCCTGGTGCCCTCTTTTACAGTAACTTCAACACTCACTTCGAGTGGATCAGCTCTGTGACTTGGCCTTTGGGAGGTTTGGACCTTTTTTTGGCATTTTGCTTTGCCTGGAAACTCCCATCTTCCAGGAAGGGATCTCATGTGGTGATGCTTCAGGCTGCAATGGGAGCTTGGTCAATCCCATCTGTATAAATACATTAGAAACAAATGTGTGCTTTCCTGGAGGGGAATGGGGACAGGCGTCCTCTCTCCACCCCGATGAGCACACCGAAATTACCTCCTGTTTGAGCTCACCACCAGTGAAACTACACCTGCTTTAAAGATGAGGTCCTTCTAATTACGAGCACTTCCTCACTCTTATTTTGTGGCTGTCCAGCTGCCAGCGCCTGGGTGTCTGTGTTGAAACACACATCCTCTTCTCGTGACGCTTTGCTCTGCGTGCAGGACTCGAACACCGGTGAGAAACTGGCTTTGACCGTCCCATCGCCCTACCACCCCTCCTGAGCACAGACCGCGGGGAAGCGGGCACTTCCGCGCCGGTTTGTCAGCTTCTGCTTCTCTGAACTTGGCTCCAAAGTCTCCGTGCTCATCAGCGGTGAGGAGCTGTCAGGCCAAAAGGGTACAAGCTGGGGATAGAAGAACTAGAGGCTTGGATCTTGGTTGGCTCTGGAGAAGTACTGCCTTCTTGCAGGGGGTCCACGCTGAAGAGTTGTCTCCTTTTAACTTTTATTTCTGTGGGGTGTTTTTCCTCCTTTCGTTATGCCATGTCTTGCCCCCATTCCCGCTGTAGCTTCCCGGTTTAGCTTGGCATAGATGCCAGCCCTTGCTTCTGGTAAAGATAAACCTGTTGCCCGTGCTGTTTGCAGCGTGGGCGTGGGGCAGCCAGCAGGCACCTGCCCAAGCCTGGGGCCAGCAAACAAACCCACCCTCCACCGGCTGCAGGCTCCCGGGAGGGAGGCTGCTGTCTCGGCCACCGTTACCAAAACTCCTTGGAACAAAGATTGAGACAAGGGCGGAGCAAGTCACGAGATGCTTGCCCTCTTGCCCCTTCCCATCCTGTGGGAAGCGGAAGGGAAACAGCTTTGCTGGATTCTCTGGAGAAGCTTGGGAAGGAGTTCACAGTCCCTGTCCTTGTTTCCATCCTCTCTTTCCATCGCTGCCCTGTGACAGCTGCCAAACAGAAAAAGGGGGTGGCTATGCCGGGCGGGAATCTCTGCCCTTCTCCCTGCAGCTCAAACCTTGTGTGCTGTGCTCCAGCACATGGCTCATTAGCCAAAGGGATGAGACGGAGTTGTCCCTCCTCTGGCTCTGCCCGCTCAGCAGCTGGATGTGGAGGCACTGAACGCATGGAGAGGTCCTGGAGTTGAGATGGGCCCTTTGGCCATCCTCTGCCATCCACGCAGCCATCCCAGGTGCTGTCCCACAGATACCGGGCTGCGATACCCCTGTGCGTGGCCGTGCTGATGCTCAGAGGGACAGAGTTCGGACAAACCTCTGGGGAGCCCCAGCTTCCCAGGGTACCCGACTCTGATCCGTGGGACTGGCAGGGGAACGGAGGAGTGTGTGTGAAACCTCAGCAAATCTCCGCAGTCTCTGCATGCTGCCACGTCGCTGCCTCTGGCCCAGAGGGGAGGGCTGGGGGTCCACGTCTCTCCAGGGGCCCTGCCAAGCCAGCTCGCTCCACGCCGGGGTGTGCAGGCATGGCCCGTGCCCTGCCTTTCATCTGGGCGGTGGCTGCCTTGGCCTTTCATCTGTTGAAGGGAGGGGGTGCCAGCCCCCCGTGTGAAATCAATCTCTTCTTCCCTCTCTTCTCCCTCTCTCTCTGTTGTTTAGAAAACGGGAATGGCTAAGGGAAGGGCAGGTGTGCAAACAGCTCTCGCAGCTTCCCTTTGCCCAGGCCCCTGTACTCTTGGCCTGCGAGGAGATATTAAAACAAGACATTCAGAGCCTTCTGGTAAAAGTTTTTCTCTCTCTGGGTCTCCAGCCACTCCCAAAGGTTGGGATCCAAATCCTTATCCTTCCCGTAATGCCTGCATGCACATGGGGAGCCTTAGCTGGAGCGTGGCGTTGCCGTCTGTGCGTGTCTTGCCCTCTGCTTTCTCCTTTCTCAGGGCTGCACGCCCGTCTGTAGCCAGACGGACTCCAAACACAGTTTTGGGGTTGCTTTGGGGGGTTTTGGGGAGCAAACTGCATGTCACAAACTCGCCGCCACCCCAGGAGTACACAGCCCTGGGTAGACCCAGCGGATGGAGGTCAGCGTGCCAGGGATGCAGCTGAAGGAAGGCGCCCACGTTATTCCAACAGCAGCGTGCCGTGAGGCACCTGGGGCAAAGCAGAGGGCTCCGTCTGCACTGGGTTTAAAGCAAGTGGCCTGTGCTGGATGCCAGAGACAGGGGAAAGCTAATAAGAAGCTCATTAAACTGCTGCTGGACGTATTTTCCGCTGTAGACTAGTTTCTCCTGCCACAGACTTCCCCCACTAACTGCTGTTCCAGGCAAAAGCATTTTCCTGATGTTTGTACGTTCATTTATATATAGCCTTCTAAACGCTCGAGCCCGTTACCCTCCATCTCCAATGAATGGGTTTCCTGCCTGTGTGCCATGTCCCACCGCGCGGGATGTGTGAGAGGAGGCCAAGGATAACACAGCCCTTCAATGGTCCCTTAGTGCTTTTGCGGAGGCACGGGAAGGGAACGCTCTGCCCTTGTCCAAGCACCCCTCTGCCTGCTCCTGCCGTACAGGAGAGCAGAACAGTCGTGCTTGCTAGTTGCCTCTAACGTCCCTCTCCTTGAAACAAAGCTGTCCGTCCTGCAGTCTGAATTCCCAGCGTGGAGGGGGAAAGGCAAAGCTCTTTCCCCTGCAGGAGACTCAGGCTCTGGGGGGTGACTTGTGTCCTGGCTCTGTGACGTGTTTGTGTTCAACCTCCCCCTTACAGGTTTTGTCCTCTCCCTCGCCTGCTTGCTTGATCTCGCTGGGAGCTCTGACCTTGCTCGGCGCCAACGGCTTTCCAGCAAATCCAAGGAGCTGGCTGCGGCTCAAGTTTGAAGTGCCAGGCGTGAGGGTCTGCTGCGGAAGGGAAAATGAGCCCAGGGAGTCGTGGATCACTGCTGCCCTCCCCTAGCAAGCCCTGTGCTGCGGCGTGGGCTTGGGCAGGGGTCACGGACCATCCTGGTGCTTGGGGGCTGCCCTTGGGCGAGTCCCCTCCGAGTAGTTTGCTCACTTCGCTCTGACGCGGGCTTGAAGGCGCTGCAGCAGTTTAACTTGTGCCTGCAAATTGAGGCTGTCCTGGTGGAAGCTGGATTTCAGTGGCTTTTCTGATGGATATTTCTCCACTTAAAAATAGCTCCTTTAAGGAAGGGGATGCAACTCTACATTAGCTGGGCCTGAAGTATTAATTACTCAAGCGAGAGTTAGTTTAGGAATCAAGATCTGGAGGTGAATGAGCAGCAGGATGTTGCAGCGTGAGCTGGATGCTCGGGTGAGATCCAGCATGGTTAGGAGGGAGGTGGGAACGGCTCTGCGATGGTCGTGGTACCAGTGATGCATAGATTGCACGGCTTGAGTTTTTTGTGGGTTGTTTGGGATGGACTAAGGCAAACAAGGAGCGGAAGCGTGCGGGGGGGGGACGGGGCCGTTCCTCCCACAGGAAACCCAGGATTAAGACACTGGCTGGATTGTGCGGCCGTCCCGATCACGCTGCTGGACCCCGTGGCTGAGCACGGCCCGGCAGCTGCACGGCCCAACAGCAACACGTTCAACTCAGCGGCTCTTGGCAGAGGAGCTGGGGCCGGTTACAACACGATGAGTGAAAATAAACACAAATGCTGTAACTGGCAGCGCTGTAACGGGAAGGAGTGTGAGCGCGGGGGCCGGCAGGAAGCCGTCGGGTTTGCGGAAGGGTCGCACGGGCCC